AAAGACATTAGAGATCATCACTGAGAAGAGAGAGAATGCAGTGGGGTTATAGCCACAGTGGGTTTCCATTAGAGCATTAGTGAAATTAATTCCCCTCTCATAAGGATTTAGATCTGTGATTTATGGTAACCAGTTTTTCACTGCTGGCAAAGTGAGGGGAAATGACTCAGCCTGGACAGACAGCATAAATCTCATTTTTCCCCCTTAATAGTTGACATAATCTAGAGTGCTGCTCCCAGAGGTGTCACTGGAGATTCATAGCCAGCCAAAGGGCCTCGCAATCAAGGCAGAGAGTTTCATACATTGTAAACGGTAATTGTTTTGAATTGCATCCTGCCTCAGTCATTGTAATTTCCTTTAGATCAACTTTAAAGGCAGTAGTTAAAAACGAGAGAGAGAGAGAGAGAACTGGGCCCGACAAGAGGCAATGGGTTCAAACTACAGCACATCAGATTTAGATTAAATCTCAGGAAAAAACTTCCTAACTGTAAGAACAGGCAGACAATGGAACAGACACCTAGGGAGGTTGTGGAAGCTCCTTCATTGGAGGTTTTCAAAAGGAGGCTGAACAGCCACCTGTCTTGGATGGCTTAGACACAACAAATGCTGCATCTTGACAGGGGTTTAGACTAGCTGACCCTGGTGGTCCCCTCTAATCCTATGATTCTGTGATTCTCTTTCCTGAGCAAAATCTGTGTTACAATAATGTTAGCTGTCTAGCTGAAACGTACTGAAATCAAACAGTGCAGAGTCCAAAGCTCCATCCTCTGTCTGTCGCTCCTGTTGCAGCCCACCTGACATTCTGAACTTCTCCTTTCAGCTATCATTTCTAGAATTCTGAGTGCTAATTCAATACCCATTTATGCAGTAGGAGAAGACTTTTCTAGTAAATTGGAGAGGATTCTGCTGCAGCAATCATGCTGACTGCAGAAAGTCCAAAGTTAGAGGTGGATCTTCAGCATGGGCAGTGCGTGAACCGCAGGCCGGGGGAAGTTAGCCCCCAGCCCCACAACTTCTGCCCAAGGCCCTGCCACTTCCACACCACCCCCACTGGAGCCCAGAGCCTCCCCCCCTCCTCACCGCAGCCAGCAGCCCCCACCCCAGGCTAGTGCCTCTAGACCCAGAGTGCCGGCGGTGCAGTCCCAGAAACCAGAGTGCTACTACATGGTTCATCTGCTGATTTTTAACACTATACCTGTATAAAAATAGACAACATTTTCATATCTGCTTGCCTAAAGACAGAGAGCGTATTAAAGCATCTAAAAAAATAGGCTTCTTTTCAGAAATGCAACACACCACATAGCTCCCAATCAAGTCACCCGCAACTGGATATTTTTTATTGTTGTTCTTTCAATCCCCAAAATAAGACAAAACGAGAAAGATAAGATTGTTACAAATGATATTTCTACTTTGTCGATTTATGAGTTAACATTATGAGCTTCCAGATAAAAATCAGACAAGATTTGTGTGTGTTTTTGATAATACTTCAAAAAGGCAAAACAGAATCTTAGGCAAATAGTAAATCTATTCATGATTATTTTCAAATAGGTATGTAACCTTGATTTTATTCCCTGTTTTACTTAATTTGTCTTTTACACTCTTGTTCACCATGAAACTTTCATTACCATCCCCACGAGAGTCTTTTAAAGCTGCTTTTTATTTTCCACTTCTGATACCTTGTGTAATTGTTTTAATGATATTTCTTGACCGTTCGAAGAGCTTGTAGAGTAACAGGCAAATTATTATGCTGTATCCAGTTACTAAGTTAAAGTGATTTTTCTAAAGAGTTCCATGGTAGATTTCTAAATTGCAGCCCCGGGCTTGAGAGATGTTCACTTTCTTTGAAGCACAATTGGAGTAATTTTGCCACTTTTGTTAAATGAAATGTACCTTTCAAAATTCTCTTGGGCCCTGGTCTAGCAAAGCACATAAGTATGGGAATTCATTTGGACTATACATGTGCTTGAAGTTACACACAAAGTTAAATTCTTCTCTGGAACCTTAAGGGATTGTTAAAAATTACTGCTAGGAGAAAAAAGGAGAAGATTCAGAACACAACAGTAGGGTGTTTTTCATACAAACTGTATAGTGTATCCCCAGATACAGCTAATCTCTGCAGGCCATATCATACCATTGATTAACGGACACAAGGCAAGGTCCTGTTGATTTCAATTGTGAGTTTGGCTTTCAAAGTGCTAATATGACAAGGCCTGTCCTTACAATGTTAGGGCCCCATCTTGCAAACATCTATGCATGAGTAACTGTATTCAGGTGAGCAGTCCTATTGAAGTCACACCCTGCATATCCCAGAGGATCATGTTGGCACAATCTTGTCACATATGAGGTTTTATTTACATTTTGTGACTTAGTTAACATGAATTAAAGAGGAATCTTGCTTCTTTGTTTTCCTTGTCCTTGAAACAGCCTGCATCACATTCACCAGATCAGGAGCATATTAATGGTGTAAAGTGTTATCTCTTTAGCTCCTCAGGTCTGAATACAAGCAGCCATAGATTCTGTAAATCCTATTCCTCTCACTGTTCTGCTCTAAGTGATACAGATACTACTTTGCCAGTTTTATCAAGACACAGAGGAATACTCCAGCAGAGCGCTGACTCAGGGATATCTTCACCAGTAAGTGTTTTATCAGTCTGGTTATGAGTTTATAGAAAAAAACTCAGATGGAAAGTAACTTTATGAATGGATTCTCTTTCTACAACATGATAATGGATGTGTTCTGCCCACATTTAGCCTCCAGATAGGATTTGATGGGCCAAATTTTGGCTAATCTAGGGAAAGTACTATAAGCAACCTGCAAATGGGTACACATACCCACTAAAAAAAACATACTCCATACGCTACAAAAGATCTTATTACAGGTAGTTCTGTGTCTAGCCAGCATACAGGCATCATCCATGTGTGGGGCTGTGCATAGGTGCAATTGCTGGGCCAGGAATGGACTAGCATTGCTATGAAGACCAGATTTTGAATCTGAGGCTTGCCCTGAAATTCCTCTCTGCGACTGCTGGTCGGGAATGCCCACAGAACAGTTTTTGGTGGGAAGACAAAACGTGGCAGATAGCTTCTGCTCCAGACTCCATTTCTGACTCTGGCTGCAGGTTTTCTGTGCTTCCATCTAGTGTCCTAAACTGGATTTTGTTTTTTTTATATATATATACACCTCTACCCTGATATAATGCAACCCGATTCGGATATAATATGGTAAAGCGGTGCTCCGGGGGGGGGGGGGGCTGCGCACACCGGTGGATCAAAGCAAGTTTGATATAACGCGGTTTCACCCATAACACGGTAAGATTTTTTGGCTCCCGAGGACAGCGTTATATCGAGGTAGAGGTGTATATATATACTCTCTTCTCATTCATGTGCTATTTCATAACTGACTTTTATGAAGCATTTAACAAGTCATTGTTAAGGTAACACAACTCACCTATAAACATTCACCTAGAATATATTAGAAAGATATATTAGAACTGCAAAAAGTACAGAGAGGGCAACCAAAATGATTATGGGTATGGAGGAGAGATTAAAAAGACTGGGACTGTTCAGTTTAGAAAAGAGATAACTAAGGAGGAGTATGATAAAGGTCTATAAAATCATGAATGTACGAAGAACATGAATAAGGAAGTGTTATTTACCCCTTCACATAACACAAGAACTAGAGACCCCCTGAAGAAATTAATAGGCAGCAGGTTTAAAACAAAAAAAAGGACATGCTTTTTCACACCGTGCACAATCAACCTGTGGAACTCATTGCCATGGGATGTTGTGAAGGCTAAATCTATAAAAAAATAATTAGATAAGTCCATTGAGAATAGGTCCATCAATGACTGTTAGCAAAGACCGTCAGAGATGCAACCCCAGGCTCCAGGTGTCCCTAAACCTCCAAGTGGCCGGAGCTGGGACTGGACGACAAGGGATTAATCACTAGAAAGTGTCCTGTTCTGTTCATTCACTTTGAAACATCTGGCAGTGGCCACTGTCAGAAGACAGATTACTGGGCTAGATGAACCATTGGTCTGACCTAGAATGGCTGTTCTTACGTAAGATTGTGTGTATATTTTTTTCTCCTGGAATAATGCCAAAAGGTTTTTGTATAAATGTGAAGATATTGCCCAATGTTTAAGACCATTAATTAATTTGTTTCTTTTATTTTACATCCTTCCAGCTTCCCTCAGATTCCTTCAAGTATCTCACTTGGCATGAGTTAAAAGAACATGATGTTCGCGGAAATCAGATTCGTTGCCCCCGGGTAAGAGAAGGTAAAGATGAAAATTTGTTCCTTTGAAAAAAAAGACATATTAATTTTAAATCCTAAGTATTCTATCCTGTACAGAATTAAATACCAGGATGAAATCCTGGCCATTTTGCAGTTAATGGGAATTTTGCCATTGACTTCACCTCTACATTGCAGGAGTTTCAATTTTTTGAAATCATTCAGACAATAGCTGTGTAAGATTTAGACTTAAAAAGCAGGAATGAATGTCAAAACTGTAGTTTCTATATTTTTAAATTAATGCTTGGAGACAACAGATGACAGAGTAAAACCCCAATCCTGAAAATGGTAACACACATGCTTAATTTTAACCATGAGTGGCCTCGCTGAAATAAATGGGACTACTCCAGAGTATGAAATTAGGCATTTGTTTAAAATTAGGTAAGTGTTTACAGGAGTGGGACCTAAATGGAAAAACAATTCCGTAGTGCATTATCTTACTTATATTTATATTATATGAATATACACACACACGCTTACACATATGCCAGCATTTTCAAATCTGAGGGGTCTAAAGTGAGGCACCTAAATAAAAGCTTTTATTCAGCATTAAGATGAACAGGAAATGTCATTTAATAACAAGCCACCAACTCACAGTGACTGTAAATTGAATGTAAAGAGTTGAATTAGCACCCACAATATAGTGAAAATCTTCAAACTAATTTACTGTCTGGGAACCTACTTTGGTATAATACCGTGTATATTATTTCAACTCAAATATCTTCCCGACTACATATATTCTCTTAAAAAGTAACTAACTGCAGACATCATATCACATCAGCTATTGAAAATATATGTTTTTCTGAGCAGGGCCTTCAGAAGAAGAGCTATTTTTCAGAGGAGAAGAAGATGCCTTGCAAGCAAGAAAACAAGTAACAGAAAAAGAGAAATGGCAACAGAGGCTGCAAGAAAACTGGGAAAACTGTGCAGTAAGATCTTACTATTAATTATTGTTATTGATATAGTTCCATAAGCGTATGTTGCACTGTATAATCAATGAGCCAAACAAATAACTGGGCCAACAATTTAAGGGCTCTGACTGGGACAGTATAGTACATTACATTATAGTGCATAGTTCGTACTGTACTATACTGAGATAGATTGGGGCTTGGACTAGGCCCCTGTGCAAGTAGGGAAAGGAAGTAAATGCCCACACCACCTTATGGGCCTACATGGGCTACCCAGGTACTTTGGATTTGGGCACATTGAAATAAATGAAGCTATTTGCCTGCTTAGTATCAGAGGGGTAGCCGTGTTAGTTTGGATCTGTAAAAAGCAACAAAGAGTCCTGTGGCACCTTATAGACTAACAGACGTATTGGAGATGAAGTGAATACCCACTTCATCAGATGCATGTGTCTGACGAAGTGGGTATTCACCCACGAAAGCTTTGCTCCAATACGTCTGTTAGTCTATAAGGTGCCACAGGACTCTTTGTCACTTCTTGCCTGCTTAGTCACTTTTTGGAACAGATGGGTGAAAAGTGGATCCAAATCCCCCCCCACCCCTCCATGCATGCTGGGCAGAATATTTGAGCCGGCACAGATGCGGGGGCTCAGGGCACTAATTTACTGCTGGTCTGGATCAACAGTCAATTGTTACCTCTCTAATAGTGATGAGGTAGCAGAGCAGGAATTGTGACACTGAGTCACAGTGCCTCATAGGGCTGCTTTTGTGGTGGTACAGCTTAGGTACCTCTCCCTGCCTAAAGGCACAGATAGGCCTTTATAAATGGAAAGTCCAGAGAATAGATGGATTTGGGGAGGGAACTTTACATATAATAATTGGGAGATTGTTTCAGGCATACCGGGGAGTGAGGAAGTAGATACAAATGTGAAAGCGGATGAAAGAGAACAAAAGGACTCAGGAGAAACTCTTTGAGAGCATAGGGAAAGGTGGAGAGCATAGGGAAAGGAGGGGGTTGTTAGAAGAGAAGAGGGTACAGATGTATGCAGAGTAACTCTTCTGGCTACAGCTACCCTCCAGTAATTTGTTATCCATATAACAAAACATCAGTTCTGTCTACCTCTTGCATGGTAGGTGGACCGAACAAATTTAGCAACATATTTCTACGAATTTGGCATCATAGTTTGTTTTAAATTAGGTATAACTCTAGCATACTGAAATAGACTCACATTGCAACAGACCCTATTGTTGCAAAGGATTTTAATAACTAAACTTAAAAAGAAAAAATAAGCTAAAGAATTTTCTTTGCATTTTTCCCATCCCCAGAATTTGAACCTTTCATTTCAGGACTTGGGAGACCTTTACCAGCTAGAAAACTTTAACAGGATTCTCCGGAGATTAATTCGAGTGGAAAGGCTTTGGTTGGTGGACAACTCTTTGACAGACCTAAGTGCCATAAGGTTGCCAAGGTAGATGAAAAATCCTGTTGCCAGGTCCTATCCAGTATCATAGAAGTCAAAGGGAGTTTTGCCATTGACTTCAATGGAAGCAGAATCAGGCCTTTAGTGATTAACAGAGCATAATATGTGCATGTAATTCTATTGAAAAATCCAGTTAATCTAAGTTCATGATATCCAAGAGAAGTAAAAGCTATTTTGGGTCAGATTCTGCCACCTTGTTCATACTGAGAAGAGCATAGCTCCATGAGAAGTTTCATCAAAGTCAATGATATCTTCTGCTAGGAGGAAAAGTTGTTGTATCCGGTCAGTAGGAGGAAATGTACACAGAGATGATGGTACTTGACTCAAGGAGGGAAGCCAGGAGTTTCCATTGCAGTTATTTCCTAATGGTCATTCCTAATGGTTATTTCCCTAGGGAAAGTTGCGGTTGTGTTAATAGTTGGAGTTGGAAATAATGGTCCAGCCATCCTAAAATGTAAAAGAAAGCTGTAAAGCTAAATTTTCAGCCCCGATTTGCAGCCTTTGTTGAGGCAAAAAATAGCATTGCCCAATAGAGTTATATCAGTGTAAAATTGCGTGACATCAGAATCAGGCCCCTGAAAGATGAACTCCTTTATCCACAGAACAGGTAAAAGCAGAGGCTGTAAACTTTCCCACATTTTGCTTGATGTTCCTCAGCCCTAACAGAGAAGGGCACAGTCAAGGGGTGAGAAGTTAGCTCAATCTGCATATCTATCTCTTTACTAACAAAGTAGGATCTGAAGCTGCATTCAGAGAGGATGTGCACAGTGGTGTAAATTAGACCTTATGCTAACTCTGTCATATTCCCTTAGTTAGTCCTACTTACAACCACTCTACCTACTTGTAAGGTAGTCTAAGCTGGTGTGATTTACACACTGAATTGTCAGAAGAAGGTATCAAAAGATGTATGTTAAAGTAGCCCACATTCTCCTTTTCCTTCCTGACTGTAAGGGAGTCTAAATTAGCATACTTAGGTCCAGATCACACCCCCTTACACACCTCTACTGAATATGACCCAGCAAGTGCCAGCTGTAGCTGCTGTGGTTTTTATAACGTGAACAGTTGTCCTCTGGAAACTGATTTGAGGTCACCAAAGTGAGTTCATGTTGGCCACTGACCCTCCATCGGATGGTAATACCTTTTGGTCGCTGACCTAGACTGGATTTAAACTCAGAGGGGTAGCCGTGTTAGTCTGGATCTGTAAAAAGCGACGAAGTGTCTTGTGGCACCTTATAGACTAACAGAAGTATTGGAGCATAAGCTTTCATGGGTGAATACCCACTTCGTCAGATGTAACATTGAAAGGGGCATTATCACCACCCTACTACAATCTGTTCAGATCCTCCTAAAATTAATTGTAATGAGTTAACAAGAATATACTAGATCTTCAGCCAGTGTAAAATGGCCTATTTCTCTTTAAATCGATAAAGCTAGGCTGGTTTATGCCAGCTGAGGATCTGGCCCTATGTGTGTACACTGTATATTTTTTCACAATAACTAAGGATGTATATTCTTCTGTCTATGCGATAAATGATGGCATACATTTTTGTACTTTACAGATGCAAAGAATTAAATGTCAGTAAAAATCATTTTACATCCTTCAAACAGCTGCCAAAGATACCTCAGATTCGTCAGTTGTCACTGGCTGATAACAACATTGAGACACTAAGTGGGATATCAGACTTGAGATCTACTCCACTAGAATCCCTTATACTCAAGAGGAACCCCTGTGAGTTCAAAGAAAACTACAGGCAGCTGTAAGTCCAACATTATTGTCAGTAAAAACATGTACAGTGGGAAAATATCTGTTCCTATGAAAGCATAAATGTAATACACTATTGACATGTGATAGCTTTCATGGATTGTAAAGGAAACTGGCTTTGTTCTTGCTGTATTCTCCTGTCATCACAGGATAGTTCAACAAGTTTTGCAAACTTGAGCCAGTTGGCAAGATGACATGTGTCACTCTTGTCCACCTGAGGAATAGTTTCCTATGGATTTGTAATCTATGTGGAATTTTCAGAAAGTGCTTGGACAACACTGTAATCCAGCAGCTAAACGAGAATGAATTCTTGAATGCAAGCTCATGAGCTAAACTGAAGTCCATGGGCCAAGTTCAGAGGCAATCTGTAGGTGTAAGCTAGACACCCTTTCACTCAAGCCGCCTTAGCCAATTCTCACTATGTTGCTACTGGACTAGAAGTCTAAATTGAATTACATGGCAAGAAGCTGGATGAAGATGTTGGAAGATGTAAGCTAAATTGAAAGGTGGCACAAGTTCTTGCACCTCCCTGTTAGAGTCTTTTCTTGATGCTCTCCTGTCTTCTGCATCCCAACACTGTGTGAGTTACACTGACTTAGGCTCCCTACACTCAGTGGGCCAAATTCAGCAGGTGATTAAAGTTACATGATAGAAAGTGGGGGTGAGTCTAAAGGAGTAAATCTGGGGGAATCTGAGTTGGTGTAAAATGCTAATGGGGAGAGTCAGAAGAAGGTGTAAGTTACACTCCCTGGAGATTCATCTCTGTGATCCATTCTCCCCACTCCCCAAGGACTCTGATAGCCCTTCCACAGGAATAAATGGCAGGTGGGTTGGGAGGGGGTTTTGAGCCAGTCTCTGCAATATGCTCCTTACTGAGCTTCTCAGAGACCTGTGCTGCCAGGAGGTTCCTAGGGAACAACTAATGCGGGACAGTTGTCCCCATTACAGACACAGGATCTATTAGCTTGCTCTCTGGAACCTAAGCCTCCATGAGGTTTCCTGTCCGCCTGCACCAAATCCCTCCAGCATGAGTACAAAAATCCCTCTCCCTCGAGGGGAGAAAGGAAAGGAGACTCCTTGATATGAACCTGGATGAATTTCAAGTAGGCTTTTTCCCTTTGAGTTCTTCTTTGGGAGATGATGTTGATTGTGTTTTTTAAAGCTAATTTTTTCAAAAATATAAAAAAAAATTATATTCTATTGTACCCTGAAATCTGAGATCTAACAATGAGACAGTGGGAATCTCATGAAACTTTATTTCATTTTCACAAGATTTATCCAAAAGGGCCAAAAGAGAGGGAAAGTCAATACTTAACTTTAATTACTAATGCTGTCTTATTACATTGATATAGACTAGAGCTTCTCATGCCAAAGGGTTTAAAAGCACATTCCAAAATAGATACATGCCAGGATTCCTTCTCCTTCCACTGGAATACAGTCACCTCTGGCACAGAGGGCAGCAGATATTAATGACAGAAATTAAAGATAGTATACCGGGAGCTTTAATGTCCACAGAAGGCCTGATGCATTGATATCAGAAGGTTTGAGATTGGGTCCATAGAGCAGACAGGACACAAGTGTTTACTGTCTTATAATAAAAGAAGCTCACAATCATAAAATCCATAAAACTGAGTTTATCTATCACAGCAGGATGAAAGTTGAGTCAAACACTTTGCAATTTGAACTCTTAGTTTCTAGGTGCCTGGGAATTTCAAACCTAATGCTTACACTAAGCTACAAAGCCCTCCCCTTTGTGATATGTTATACAATGGGCCTGATTCTCTATTCTGCTACAGGTGTTTTGCGCTTGTATAACTTCACTGACTTCGATGTCTTAAAACCAGTATAACACAGTAAATATTCAGATCCTTTGTCAGAGCTGGTCTCAAGTGGCAAACCCAGTTTGGGGTCTGAATCCAGATTTCTAGTTTGTTCAGATACAATGTTTGCTTCTGGCCCATCTCTACTTTTAATCTTAAAAATTATCCAAGTAAATACCTCAAAATGCTATTTTTTCTCTGATTTCTCCTGTAGAGTGTTCTCCAATTTGCCAAACTTGAGAATGCTGGATGGGGTCCCAAAGCTGCCAGAGGATTGTCCACCTCCAGAGATCAGTTTTCTTTCAAAAATGTGCACCATACTGTAGCACTGTATTTTGTATCATAAAGGAGCTAATGGAATTGCCATACTTAACAGAACTAATAAATCCAGTACATACACTTTTTTTCTGATCAAACAGCTGTAGAGTCCGTCTGGAAATTTGATCCAGTTGAATGTGCAAGAGAGAGAAAACTGAGGAACAGATTTTAAAAGTTAGGCACACATAAGTATACATACATCTGCGTACACGTAATTAAGCTAATGCATGCAAATGTACGTACGCTATTGTAAACTTCTAAGTTTGAAAATCTGGTCCTGAATGCTAGAAATATATCATGTTCCTAGTTCTCATTTCACTGATTTACATTTAAATTAGAGATAAATTGGGCTTATTGAGCTTTGTCGTCTCTTCTTACTGACACCAACATAACGCCATTGACTTCAGTAGAGTCCTGGGCCAAGATTTTCAAACATAGGAGCTTAAAGTTAGGCTCCTAAATTCATATTTGGGAGCTGCTGGGAACTCAGCACTTTTGAATGCACTGATAGTTGCCAGACTACATGGAACAGATGGGTCAAATTCAGATATAATATAGACTCCCCAAACTAACTTAAAGTTCCTTATGGTCAGTGAGACTTTTCAGGAATTCTGTTAAAAAATATACAAGAAGGGAATGGAATTTGGGAGTCTCCTTCTGTGTGCTGCTGCGTGGTTAGCAGGAGTGAAAATGCAGCCAGAACTTCTTTTGCTCACTAACACCAAGAGACCTGACTCTGCATACACACAGGGAGCAGATCTGATGAATGAGAAGCTACCAGTTGAATCTAATCACTTTTCAGAGTACAACAGGACTTTAACATATACTTAATAACAGAACTGTAGACATATCTATTTAAATAATAACATGCAATCACCATGGCCTTGGTTTGGTAGTAAACTTTTGAACAGACTGATGAAGATTGTTTTGGCTCTTTCGATTTATATCTATTTTGTTATTATTTTTCCAGTATATTTTTTTCTGTTGTTGGAGAAGGTGGCTATTTACATTACAAAGATTACATTAAAAGATACATTTATAATTGTTTGCTAAGAAGGAGCTCATGGCTGGCTGTGGGGATTGAGCAAGGGCTGAGCCCAGAACCCAGCCAGACCAAGTGAGGGTACCATGATGGGCCTAGTTGTACTGTTGTAGAGAGCAGTGTCTCCAGGGATCAAGCCTTGGCGGAAGGTAAAGACTGTATACCCCGGAAGGGGTTTGTTTGTTCTGTTCCATCTCCAGACAGTGTGTGTGACTTGGCCGCAGGGCTGAGTCACTGAAGACCCACTGAAAAAACCATCAGCTGGCAGCAAGAGGAAGGGGGTGCTTGCGAGAGGTGGGTGCCACCCTGTTCCCCAAACTAAGAAACAGTAGGCTCACACCACACCAGAAGGGGGCGCTCGTGAGAGGTGGGTGCCACCCTATTCCAAACTGAGAGATTGCAAGCACACACTCAGCCAGAGCGAGCACTTGTGAGAGGCGGGTGCCAACCCCATTACACTCAGGCAGAGCTTGAATGGACCATAACTGATGTAGGGGGAAAAGTAATGTTAATCTTTGTACGCTTCTTAAATGGTATCACCTTTGATTTGATGCTGTGCGTGCTTTGTAGAAAATGTGAATCTAAAATTTAAATTAAGGGTATACATTTTAATTAATGCAAAAGCTACATGAATACAACATTAAGAATCCAAATATAAACAC